GTTCACGCGAAGCAAACTCTCTGCCTTGCTAAGATTCGGCGTAGATATGAGCATTCTCGCTTCATCGGCTTTAGCGGGAGCACCCTGTCGAAATGCCGTCTTGTCGGTATGTTGCAGATGTCGATGCACCTTCACAGTTTTGAATGTAGGACTGGACTTTGATTCCGAGGCCAGCCCAGTAGCAGGTTGCTCGGCGCGGGTAAGCTCGCTGAAGGAGACGGTGAGGTTGAGTAGAAGCAGTAGTAATAGAAAACTTTGACGTATCTTGCTCGTTTGGAGTCTGGTAATCGGAAGAAATTGCGAAATGAGGTAAGTTGAAAGAAATGCCAAACGACAATTGGACAACCCATGGAATCACAAGAACGACGCCATGTCCAATAGAAATTAATAATGCAAGAGGATACATGCAACAGGGCCATAGCATACTGTACTGTTTCTTTCAAAAAATGTAGCTGGCATGAAAGTGATTGCGTGCTGGCAAACTCATCCCCATTACTCGTGAAGCGATAGGTGGCAGTTTCACAGAGCGTTGTCAGTGTCCGGAAGAAGCCATTTTTGTGCCTTTTCTTCCCACGGCATGATTGCAACGCAAAACGGTTTGTCGCGGTACACGCAGTACAAAGTTGTATTTCATGTAGAGCTGTATAAATAACCGGTCGACATGAGTTTGACTTGTACTATTCGTGATCCTCGAAAATAGATAGAGATATTAATTGGCGACTCGAGAATTGCTGGAGAATTACATATAAAAGTCACGAGCCATTTGCCTTTTTTCCTGTCCATAATGTACTTATACATGTATTTGGATTTATTTTAATTTTATACTGTTCGCACCTTGTTTGTATGTTCGGTTCACCATTAAAGTATACCACGAAACGTGATGCTTGACTCGAGTTTAATTGGCACAAAATCAAAAGCAAATATGCAATGAAAGCGTGATGCTTAATGACATGCAATCCACACGTAAGTCCAACATCCGCAAATATCTGTTGTTGCCAACGCTATTCAATCTATAGCACTCCGCGATCAAGTCGATTTAGCACATCGAGCTTAAGTCACCATTCCATTTGCCGGATATACAAAATGTAACGCTCGGCTTTTGTAGTCCTTTGAAGCGGGCAGGCGTTGTCGTTGGAATGGATGCCAAAGAGTTCTAACCAGTCTACGCAGTGGCAATAATAGCAGTAAGAACAAAGAAATTCACTGGCACGACATAATAGTGCGCTGTACCAGAAATAAAGTGTTAGTTCCTCGTGAGATGCCTCATTTACTGATAGGAGTCACAAAGGGGCGAAACCGATCCCAAAAATATCTCTTTTTCGATTGAATTTTAATTCAATCGAAACAAATATCCCAAGGATTCTACTACGCTGATCTTTGGGATTTACGTGAATCACGCCTCTTTCAACGTGCAGGCTATAATCCCAGGACTATTATATAAACATGAGAACACCCGATAACGGGCAGTCCTGGTAGTGCTCTATGGATATTCTTCTATATATATATATGCTGTACAAACGTAGCACACACCGAAATAAAGCCATTTTATGTGGATTTTCTCTAAGCGCACATCATTACTGATCACAGTTTGTCATCAGTATCACCGTGCGCTTTATGCTTCCTCCGTTCACAAATTTTGGGTCATTGTCAGAATAATGATGGTCAAATTGTTGAGGCATTTTGCCCATTGTATATCCGCCTCGCCGGTAGCAGGTCACGGGTCATTTCATCGAGACCATCGCGATCGTGTCCTCTGCGGCTAGGATTCGCATTGTATAGGCTAATTGCACTATCATCTAAGTCATCGACATTGTAGCGTTTCCAGTCCCTGTCGATAAGTGCATAATTACCGACAATGCACCTGCAGCCAGCACATTTGCTACATGAGGCCGTTCGCCTTTTATGCTGGCCTTTTAAAGCTGCAACGTCATGTCTAGACATAATTTGTTTTTAGAGAAAAAAAAAAACTCTTTGGGGTTCTATATGGACGATCGCTTCCTGGGTGCGA